GGGGGGGAAGAAACGGCGACCGGGCACTGCTGTAGAAGCGAGTAGGGCGGTCGGGGCAGCACTTGTGGCGAACTATGTACCCGGCTGATTTTGTTGCGCCCTGTTTCCCTCCCGCTTTATGTTATACTCCTTTATGTATGTCCTTTGTGTTGCCTTCGGCCTCTGTGCTGTGTTTCTTTTTTTTCATGTCCTCCCTGCCTACTCTGCTGTGTTGGGTAGTACCTTGATCTCGCTTGTTTTGCTTGCTTTTGTTTTTTGTACATCTATCTGGCTGTCTGCCCATCTGCCGCCTCTTTGTCCTGTTTGATCCGTTACTCCCATGCCCTGGTGCGTAGTGCCTGGTGCTGGTACGTTACCCTTTGGTTTTTTCTTTAGGCGGTTGTGGGAAGCGTCCTCCTTTGTTGTTTTTGTTGTATTTTTGATCGGTTGCCGAGGGCTCTTTTCTCGAACGGTCGGTGCGGTACCTGTTCTTGGCTTTTTTAATTATTTGTATTCTTCTTGTCGACGCCAATGACGTTACTGGTCCCTGTCGGAGACAGAGGCCGGTACTCTTGCAGTATTTTCCCACTGCCAAGGGTGGCTATTTCCTTTCGTAGGATGTAACGAGGAGAGGAAGAAGGTAGAAAAAGAGTAACCAGAGGGAGTCGAGAGAGGCGAGCCGGAGGCTTCCCATCTCTTCCCTCGGCAATCGGCCATGGACTTCAGAAGAGACAAATCTCCTCGGTGCTCAACTTCGCTCAACTTGCCACTTCTCCCTGTGGCAAGTTACCCCGAATAATCATATCTTCCTACACTTTGTATGTGCACAAATGGTTGGCTATATATTCCGACAGGTGTATCGTTGTAGGCGGGTGTGGGAAGCGTTCCCCGTTCTCCTTTTATTTTATTTTGATCGGTCTCCTCGACGCTCTTTCTCGTTTGGTGCGGTAGCTGGTCTTTCTTTCTATCATTTTGTTTCTCTTCCGAGTGGTTTTTGTACCCTATTTTTTTCTGTTTCTTCGTGGGGTCGTGTATGCCGGGTTTTGAGACCACAGGCTCCCAATCTTTTTTTTTTTTAGAGCTAATGTGAGAAACAACAACAAAAAAATTGTCGCCCCGGTGGTCTTTTTTTTTTTAGAGCTAATGTGAGAAACAACAACAACAAAACAATTGTCGCCCCGGTGGTCTAGTGGGCAGCCTTGCAGCCTGCTAAGGGCCAGGTCGTGGGTTCGAGTCCCGGCAGAGGAAGTTTATTTCTCACTAAATAAATCCTGGTCTAGGATGAAAGCGACGCAGCGACGCGCTGCAAAGCTCGTTTGTTAGTAAACCATAATCGACTTCGTAAGTCGCGAGGGAAGGGATTGCTGTACCCTTCTCGCGATAAAAATACCTCAGGCATGAACCGCAGGAGGGGGTCCAACCCCCCCCTCCTATGTGACCCCGGTTGGATCGTCTAGCAAGTAGAAGTGGAGGATAGGGGCCAGAGGGGCAGACGACAGAGTCCAATGAAGGGAGAAAAACAAACAAACTCTTTTCTACGATGATGGAGGTGGACTCGTTGTGTCATATTAAGAAAAATAATAAAAAAAAACTCCACATTTGTTTTCTTTTTCCGAGTGGTTTGTACCCTATTTTTGTTTTGTTTCTCCGCGGCGTCGCATGTGCCGGGTTTTGAGACCACGTGCTCCCCATTTTTGGTGGACTAACGAGCAACAACAACAACAACAAATAAAAAAATGGGAAGTGTAGGAAAGTTTTCATAAACGCTTGTTTTTCGAACTTCTTCTCACCCGCTTCTTGTTTTTTCTCTTCTGTACGTGGTACACCATGCTGCTGTGACCCACCGAATCCATTTCAAATCGTTGCTGATTTATCCACGGCAGTGTGGATGGTGTGGATGGTCTTCGTGAGTGCGGTGTATTGCGTCTATGCAGTACCATCTCCGTTGAAAGCGACGCGCAAGTAATAAGTAGTGCGTTGTTAGTAAACTTGATCGACTTCATAAGTCGCGAGGGGAGGGATTGCTGTACCCTTCTCGCGATGAAAATATCTCAGGCAGGAACCGCAGGAGGGGGTCCAACCCCCCCCTCCTATGTCACCCCGGTTGGGTCGTCTAGCTGTTGGAACTGGAGGATAGGGACCAGAGGGGCAGACGACAGAGTCCAATGATGGGAGAAAAAAAAAAAAACGCTGGGAAAAATAACTCTATACTTCTTCTCCTGGATGTGCCTCGGACACACTACCGGTGAGGGCGTCCCCCGCGCTGTAAATGTCCTTGCCTCCCCCGGTGCAGCATCCAATACAGTCCACATCATACAGGATTCGCCTTACACGAGGGGCCGACCCGGCGCGCCCTCAAACTCTTGCTGCCGCGATCATCCCTCGCAAATTTTTCTTGACAGAACCAAAAACACGCCACCACCCCGTCTCCGATAGAACCGCCACTCACTCGCAACGCCAGCCAGAGTCCATGACCTGGATTTGCTACCATTGTGATACTTTAGTTTCAGGTTTCAGTGGAGAGAAGTGTCACAATGATTCCTGGTTTCTCGAGAAGAAGAGAGGGCCACACTTTGACGTGCTGCACGGGAACAATGCGTAGCTCGAGGTCCGGTGTATAATCCCGATCTCCGTTACGTTATGCGCGCTGGGGCAATCAACTCACGCGTTCGGGGAAATGAGCGGAATTGACCTCTCAGTCTCTCGGAAACGACCTCTCGCCTGTCGTAGGCGCTACAGTATAGACTACGCGAAAGCACGACCATGCGCACTACACAAACACGGGGGGGGGGCACAGTGTGCAATGTCAAAGTGAAATCTACGCACTGCTGTTCAGTGGTTGGGTTCGCCAGCAAACGCTGCTGTGTTGTCCACGTCAATCCGCGTCCCAACTGAACGAAAAAATCACCTGCGGGGAAAATCTTGCATGTTGGAGATATTCTGACCGGCCGCGCAACGGTGGTGGTGTCCGTCGTTCTTGTTCCGAAAAACAGCGGTTGATAAACGTTCCCAACGGCAACCTCAAATGGACAACTGTATTCCGTTGCTGCAGTCAGCAATCCGCAGTCAGCAATCCGCATACTACATACCTCGCCCCCCGGCAACACAACACACACACCACCTCTCAGCAAACTGGCACCACCTACCTGACTCTCAACGTGTCCTCGAGGTGTGCACTTTCTGTCAGAGGTAAGCCATGCATGGTTCAGAGACTCCCACACTCTTTAGGATAAGTTAGCCTGCGACCACGGGAATCGACCGCGTCGAGTATTGGGTCATGACGGACATGCGAAGGCACTGGGTAGAGAGAGATCGGAATGGTTTTTAATGTGAAAAAAAAGAACGTAAGCCTCTACCATGCACGGTATTGATCTTGGCTATGGATGAGGAATCTTGTTTTCCCGTAATCTATCGATCCGGTGTAGCTTATGGGTTGGCGGTATATGTAGTCTATTGTAGTTTGGTCCTCCAGGACTGCCATGCAGCAAGCAGAGTGCTGTGTTCGTCTACGCATAGTGAATCGTGCATGTATAGGGTCTAGTCTAGACTACATGTTGTATTAATTTCATGGCATGTCTCTTGTCGGGTGCGTGCACGGAAAGCATGCAGGCACCCTCCATAATGGTCGAAAATGTCATTTGATGATGCACCGTTGGCGTTCCGTGGGTCGAACACACGGAGAACACAGGGAGAAGTTGACTGTTGTCGTGACACCGTGGCTTAATTGTTGACGAATCCTTGTTTTGGCCACCACCTCCAGCAGGGAACAGCGGAGAGAGAGAGAGAGAGGACTGGAACGACAAAATCGTTGTTGCGCCAGAATGATTGTTGTTCGTTGAGCATTATTAGGAGATTGTCGAAGTTCTCTCATGTGCAGTTCAACTGTAGTACCTGCCATTCTCTTGAGAATATTTTTTTATTTGGGAAATGGACAAAAGTGGGTATACCCACCCCTTTCTCGGACAAAAGTGGGTACTCGAAAATCCAGCTCGC